AAAACATCATCGTAACAATCAAAAACAACACAGAGCCGCCTGGTTAGCTCAGTTGGGAGAGCACCGGTCTGTTGAGCGGGAGCTCGCGGGTTCAAGCCCCGGCCGGACCAACACTCAGGGTCTTAACAATAACTGAGAAGAAAGTGCTGCCTTTGTAATGACATCTGCAAATGGTTAGACTTTCTAGTCTTCTCGGATAAGGACGAAAAACCGTAGGCCCCGTCTCACAATCCTTGCCTATATTAATACTGTGGGACGTTAAAGAACCCACACACTGTTCGTAAAGAGTAGGGGTCGTAGACCCCGGTGTTGTGGTCAACCTTGATATACGGATCCTTCGCGTGATGCTGTACAGGCTTTGCGAAGTAATATAGTAGAAGTAGAAGTAGAAGAGCGCGCTAATCACCATCGTATCAATCAAAAACAACACAGAGCGCGCTAATCATCATTGTATCTATCAAAAATAACACAGAGCGCGCTAATCATCATCGTAACAATAAAAAACAACAATCAACGCCCTAATCATCATCGTAAAAATAAAAAACAACACAGGGCGCGATAATCATTATCGTAACAATCAAAAAAAACACAAAGCACACTAGACAATATAGTAAAAATAAAAATAAAAAAACAGAGCGCGCTAATTATCATCGTAAAAATTGAAAACAACGCAACGCGCGCAAATCATCCTCGTAACAATAAAAAACAACCCAGAGCGTGCTAAACATCGTCGAAACAATCAATAACAACAAAGGGCTTGCTAAACAGCTTCGTAACAATGAAAAACTACAAGGAGTGCGCTAATCATCATCGTAACAATCAAAATCAACACAGAGCAAGGTAATCATCATCGTAAAAATCAAAACTTAAAAAAAGTGTGCTAAACATCATCGTAACAATAAAAAACAACACAGAGCGCGCTAATCATCATCGTAACAATCGAATAACAACACACAGCGCGTTAATCATCATTGTAACAATCAAAAACAACAGAGCGCGCTAAACATCATCGTAACAATCAAAAAATACACAAGGCGCGCTAATCATCATAGTAACATAAAAAAACAACACAGAGCGCGCTAAACATCATCGTAACAATAAAAAAAACACAGAGCGCGCTAAACATCATCGTAACAATCAAAAACAACACAGAGCGCGCTAATCATTATTCTAACAACCAAAAACAACACAGAGCGCCCTAATCATCATCTTAACAATGAAAAACAACACAGGGCGAGAATCATTATCGTAACAATCAAAAACAACATAAAGCGCACTAAACATTATCGTAAAAATTAAAAACAACACAGAGCGCGCTAATTATCATCCTAACAATCAAAAACAACACAGAGCTTGCTAAACATCATCGTAACAATAAAAAAACAAGAGAGAGCGCGCTAAACATCATCGTAACAATCAGAAACAACGCAGAGCGAGCTAAACATAATCGTAACAATCAAAAACATCACAGAGCGCACTAAACAGTATCGTAAAAATCAAAAACAACACAGAGAGCGCTACACAGTATCCTAACAATCAAAAACAACACAGAGCACGCTAATCATAATCGTAACAATAAAAAGGAACAGAGAGCGCGCTAAACATCATCGTAACAATCAACAACAACACAGAGCGTGCTAAACAGCATCGTAACAATCAAAAACAACAGAGCGCGCTAAACAGCATCGTAACAACAAAAAACAACACAGAGCGTGCTACACAGCATCGTAACAATAAAAAACAACACAGAGCGCGCTAAACAGCAACGTAACAATCAATAACAACCCAAAGCGCGCTAATCATCATCGTAACAATAAAAAAGAACACAAAGCGCGCTAAACATCATCGTAACAATCAAAAACAACACAAAAATTAACAATCAAAAACAACACAGGGCGCGATAATCATTATCGTAACAATCAAAAACAACACAAAGCGCACTAAACATTATCGCAAAAATTAAAAACAACACAGAGCGCGCTAATCATCATCGTAACAATAAAAAACAACACAGAGCGCCCTAATCATCATTGTAACAATCAAAAACAACACAAAGCGCACTAAACATTATCGTAAAAATTAAAAATAACACATAGCGCGCTAATCATCATCGTAACAATCAAAAACAACACAGAGCGCGTTAAACATCATCGTAACAATAAAAAACAACGGAGAGCGCGCTAAACGTCATCGTAACAATAAAAAAAGAACACAGAGCGCGCTAAACAGCATCGTAACAATCAAAACCTACAAAGAGTGCGCTAAACATGATTGTAACAATCAAAAACAACACAGAGCGCGCTAAACATCATCGTAACAATCAAAACTTACAAAGAGCGCACTAATCATCATCGTAACAATCAAAAACAACACAGAGCGCGCTAAACATCGTCGTAACAGTCAGAACCTACAAAGAGTGCGCTAATCATTATCGTAACAATTAAAAACAACACAGAGCGCGCTTATCATCATCATCGTGACAATCAAAAACAACACAGAGCGCGCTTATCATCATCATCATCGTGACAATCAAAAACAACACAGAGCGCGCTAATCATTATTGTAACAATTAAAAACAACGCAGAGCACGGTAATCATCGTGACAATCAAAAACTACACAGAGCACGCTAATCATCATCGTAACAATCAGAACCTACAAAAAGTGCGCTAATCAATATCGTAACAATTAAAAACAACACAGAGCGCGCTAAACATCATCGTAACAATCAAAAACAACACAGAGCGCGCTGAAAATCATCTTAACAATCAAAAACAATTCAGTGCGCGCTAAACATCATCGTAAGAATAAAAAACAACACAGAGCGCGCTAATCATCATCGTAACAATTAAAAACAACACAGAGCTCGCTAATCAATCATCATCGTAACAATCATAAACAACACAGAGCGCGCTAATCATCATTGCAACAATCAAAAACAACACAGAGCGCGCTAAACACCATCGTAACAATAAAAAACAACACAGAGCGCGCTAAACATCATCGTAACAATAAAAAAGAACACAGAGCGCGCTAATCATCATCGTAACAATCAAAAACAACACAGAGCGCGCTAATCATCATCGTAACAATCAAAAACAACAAAGAGCGCGCTAAACATCATCGTAACAATCAAAAACAACAAAGAGCGCGCTAATCATCATCGTAACAATCAAAAACAACACAGAGCGCGCTAAACATCATCGTAACAATCAAAAACAACACAGAGCGCGCTAAACATCATCGTAACAATCAAAAACAACACAGAGCGCGCTAATCATCATCGTAACAATCAAAAACAACACAGAGCGCGCTAATCATCATCGTAACAATCAAAAACAACACAAAGGGCACTAAACATCATCGTAAAAATTAAAAACAACACATAGCGCGCTAATCATCATCGTAACAATCAAAAACAACACAGAGCGCGTTAAACATCATCGTAACAATCAAAAACTACAAAGAGTGCGCTAAACATCATCGTAACAATCAAAAACAACACAGAGCGCGCTAAACATCATCGTAACAATCAAAACTTACAAAGAGCGCGCTAATCATCATCGTAACAATCAAAAACAACACAGAGCGCGTTAAACATCATCGTAACAATCAAAAACTACAAAGAGTGCGCTAAACATCATCGTAACAATCAAAAACAACACAGAGCGAGCTAAACATCATCGTAACATCGAAACCTACAAAGAGTGCGCTAATCAGTGATCGTAACAATGAAAAACAACACAGAGCGCGCTAAACATCATCGTAACAGTCAAAAACTACAAAGAGCGCGCGAATCATTATCGTAACAATCAAAAACAACACAGAGGGAGCTAAAGATCATCGTAACATCAAAACCTACAAAGAGTGCGCTAATCATCATCGTAACAATGAAAAACAACACAGAGCGCGCTAAACATCATCGTAACAGTCAAAAACTACAAAGAGCGCGCGAATCATTATCGTAACAATCAAAAACAACACAGAGCGCGCTAATCATCGTTGTATTAATTATAAAGAACGCGGATTGGGGGAGAAAAAATTCGAGAAAGGAAAAATTGCGCACAAAATTTGTAGGCACTTACTGGGCTCCGTACGGCAGAGAGATGGTCATTTTTAAAAGGTCGTTTTTTTTCCAAACTTTGTCGCTTTTATTTCAACTGGCTTAAAATGTCAAATGTAGCCTTGTTCTTCTAGAGTTATTTTTTGGGGGACCGGAAACAAGTTCAGAAAGAGAAAGAAAAATTCGTCGTATGTGTCCACGTCTTCCGTAAAACGTCTGATAAGGAAATCTCTAGATTTGCCTACAAGTCGAGCTCAAATTTCTTTCACGAGCGCGAAGCGTGAGTGGCAGATTTTTTATCTTTTCTGCGACAAAACCGAGCGAGAGAGCGCGAAGTACTTTGAGAAAGTCTAGGAAATCTCACGTTGTGGTCGTACTTGGACGGCAAAGAGATAGAAGTACCAAAAAAGTGTGCTGCACGTGCAAAATTATTGCTTTCTTTTTCAATAAACCTATCGATTATTTATTTGACACTCTCGTTGGCGTCGCCGTTGTTGTTAAGGCTCCCTAATAATATTACAAAGTACAAACCGCTTTGATTTATTTTTCGATAGGCCCCATTTGTTTTCATTGCTGCAACTCTATACCCTGAGAGAACAGCCAACATTTGGCGACGCCACCACTGGTTTCCCGCCAAACGACGCCTGAGAAACGAGCGCGTCACCTCCCAGATCTGGTTTGTGCTTTTCATTGGTTGAAGCAAATTTCCCGCGCGCCACGACCAATCAGAAGCACTACCCAGATCTGGGTAGTGACGCGTCATCAGTGTAGAATTTCTGCATTCGTTTCTCAGACGTCATTTCGCGGGGAAATCGTTGGTCGCGTCGCGAAATGTTGGCTTTTTTCTCAGGCTGGCAAGCCTATTGTTCCTCAGATTTTTCTAACTCATGCGCCAGTGGCTTTTTAAGAACAATTTAAAATTTATTTTCCTCAATAAAATTATACTGCAAGTTCATCATGACTATTTTCTAGATTAACAACATTCAGTGATACAAGTCCTAACTGTTCAGATGTTCTTGCATTGTTGTCAAACAGCCATTTATCGAGTTGTTCTGCAGCTGGATAACTGGCTTGTACACCATGTGCTGTTACAGTCACAGTTGCTATGTTGACTGCTCTGAACACCATTTCTGCAAAAGACAGCTGAGGATAACATGACATGTAGAATGCTAATGCACCTATTAAAGCGTCTCCAGCTCCAGTTGTATCCACTACTTCTACCTTCTGTGTTGGTATGAGCACCATTACTGGAACTTGGAAAGAAAAAACATCGGTATGACTGTAATGTAGGAGAACGTAGCCTGCGTGACACGCATCAAATTCAAGTGAAAGGGAGAGGAAAGAAAGGAAAAATGGGAGTAGGATTGGGGAGAGAGGGAAAGGGATGCCTTCTATGAGAACCCTATTTTTTTTCAATTCTGAATCCATACCCAGCATGCAAAAAAAGTCGTGTCCGATAGCCCGGGGCTATTGGATTTTGCTATCGGGCTAGTGATTTTTACTCTTAACTTGCCCGACGGTTAAGTGCTGTTGTTCGGGGAAATTCAAATTGCAGAAGGACTGTAATCAATCCTGCTAAACAAAAAGGGTTTGGGGCTAGTTAAAATGACATGTGGGCTAGTACATGCTAGCTACAGCTTGCCCGAATGGCAGCCTGTAAAACTGACTTTCTTTGCACTCTGCATACCCTACCCTCTCCTCTCCTACCCCTATCCCTACCCCAACCTCCCCTCCCCCTAACCCTACCCCTTATGCTAACCCTAACGCTATCCTACAGGCTAGGCGAGTTGGCACAATGGCAATCGTTTGGCGGGTTTTGCCCATGAACAGATCCCCTCATAACACTATTGGAATAATAATATTCAAATGACTCAAAATGCTTAGAATTGGTCGTTCCCTCCCTGATGAATTGATTTTGGCTCATCAGTGAAGAAAGATGCAAGTACATTGATCAACACGGCTGCCATATTTGCATGACATGTTGTTGAGATCCAGAAATTTTGCTACCATAGCAACATGACATAATGACTTGTCCTCACTATAACTTTCATCCTCACATCACTTGCCCAATCGCCAGTGACCAAGCAAGTCATCTTCTATTTACATTCACTAATTTAGCATTATTATAATATATTATTTATGTTATGGACATGTATTTTTTAAATAATGTTGCACAACATAAATAACAAAAAAAAGTGACATCAGGTTAAAAAACATTTTCTAACTATTAAATCATAAACTCAGTAGCCTGCGTAGCAAGCCTCTCCTATTGAGTTATTGGGGAAAATTGTAACAAGAGCTGAAAAAGGAAAAGAAACCTCCCCTTTCCCTTAATCCCTCTATTATTTCCCTTGTGTACTTTTCCTAATGAACTGGCATGGAAACCCATACTACACACGTTAGTCTCACACTCAGCGACCCTGCCCAAGCAAAATGTGACAATGGATTGTATGAAGGACAAGCTGGCCAATAGACCTTTTGCATTAGTTGATCACGTGATCAACTTTTGGTAAACACGAAAACAGTTTGCTAATATATAATTTTATTAAAATTAGGTAACCTGTAAATTTTCAGCCATATACCTGAAAAGTAGCGATTGCAACGGCCATTAAAAATGAGAAGGATTTGTATGAGAACAACAACTCTTGCCACCCCGTCACGCTTGACGCTTGAGTGGTATTCCATACAACTCCTAGTAAATGCTGAAATTTTTAAACTGGACAGAAGACAACACTTACCACCGTGTTGTGATGAGATTTCAGATGATACTGCCCCCTCGGATCCAAGAGTCAACACTATTTGTTTAGCTCCCCACTGATGCAGTTTGCAAATAACCTTCTTAGCTCCTTCAATATCATCTGCTAACATGTTCGTTAAGCTCTCGCCTTCTTCTCTATTAACAATTAACGAATCAGCATTCAAGTATATAGACCTTGGAAGACTTTCCAGCTTTGGAGATGGGTTAAATAGAGTTTTCTTCCCTAATTCTTTGCTATACTGCAATGCTGCCTCAGCAATCTTGAGGGGTATGCCCTTGTCACAGATCACAACTTGACAAGATTTGATAAAAAGTTCAGCTGCTTTAATGTCTTCTACTGACAGATGTCTGTTGGCTCCTGCTAGACTGATAAATGCTGGTTCACCAGAATTGTTAACAGCTACGAGAGAGAACATAGACTGTAAGTAAAATATTGTAGTTATATCGATCAGGCTCTGCTCTAAAAAATGGGTGACACTTGGGATGACTTGAAACTTGTTAGTTTAAAGTCATTCCAAGTCTGTACTCTAAGGAAAATTGAAGGGACCCTAGTACTCTGAACCTGTGAAACCCAGGGTGCCCAGCATCTGATTACTTTGAAACAAACTAAGAATTCCTAGTCTCCCAAGAGTAAAAGTTAGGCGCTGGAGGGGGGACCCGGACATTGCTAGAGCACAGCCCTGCATTCTTCTTCTTTCTTTTTCTCTTTGCGTGACAAATTTTACATTTCATAATCAACTCAGTCAAGAGTTGATTTAGCACCGCGGTGGCATTCAAGGTAGGAACGCTTCCTCGTGGCCGGGTATTATGTAATGAATAATTTTTATTATTCAGTTACACATTAATTCCCGTGGTAGATTAAGCTTGTTCCTTCGATCTAGCTATGACCATGCAACGTCTCAGTTTCTTACCTATATTGGTGACACCTGTTTCTGCTTTATCGGTCACTGCTATAAAATCAGTGTTAACGCCGAATCTTTTGAAGTTGTTTCTGGTGTCTTTTCCAAACTGGTCATTTCCAACTTTTGCCACCATCGCGGTGTTTGCTCCAAGCTTCTGGGCCATAACGCATTGGTTAGCTGCTTTACCACCAAAGTCTAACTGAAATTTCGTTCCCTTGATTGTTTCACCGGATTCTGGGAGACGGGGAACGTAACTTATCATGTCCACAAAGCAAGATCCAATGACAACAACATCGAACCTATCGTCCGCCATGTTGAAATTGAGCGGGAAGAAATGTTAAGGTTACTTAGTGGGGAGGGGTAAATTAGGTTGAACAGCTGTATTGACATGTAGGTCAGCCGTAACTTACAATATTTCCGATGTTATGTATTGTAGGTAAATTTTATGCCATAAGGTTCCGTAATCTAAAAGCAAGTGTCATAGTTTTATCAAAATAAGATAAAGCAGTTGTAAAAAGCGTTGATTGTTCATATGTAACTTACCCTACCCTTGTAGATATTGTAAATGAACAAACTGCTGTTCTTACAATGCGGGCTCAAAGGTACACATGTCGCCATTTTGAGATTTTTTTCGCTTTTGTGTATTTGCCGAGTCTTTGTCCAATATTCCGATGGCAGGTCCTTTTAGAATGGATCTTTCTTTCTGATCACTGTTTATTTTCGTCGTTAAAATTATCCTGAATATGTAAGACATTATAAAAGGAATGGAAATGGTGACAAACACGCTACATGTCGATCAAATCGCTCGTGTCTCCAAGCGGAGTTCGTCGCCAAGAATTCTGACTCACTTTGTGGAAGGATTTGTCATTCAAGAAAGCAACTTTCCATTCACGGTAAGATTGTTCGATCGCACGTGTCTCACGCCTTTATTTTAAAGCTTGTAAACTAGCTGCGAAAATCTGTCACTTGATAAGGCACACTGTAAGCTTACCATAATTAAGGGTGTCAACACTTGATAAAAAGGCATGAAAAATGGCAGGCTGCCCGACGAGCAGATGTCGTGAAGGCCATTGAGAAGGATCTTTTCTTCGCATTGAATTCGAATCAAGGTGCCTAAAAAAAAATGATTTTTGTTCTTTTTTTTTTGGTCTTTGACACGTTTAGATCTTTACATCGGAAAATGGTTGACAATAATGATACTAGTACTAGAGCAACATCGGCATATATCACTCAATGAGATTACCGTGAACTGAAACTCCATTGGCCAACTTAAATTGTACGGGCCTGATTTTTTTTTTTACCCTATTTTAATAAAGAATTGATTAGGGGCCGTTGACATATTGACTTTTGTCCCTTCTTAACATCAACTGGATGACTACTAGCAAATTGTACATTGTACATTGTGATTTTCTAAACTCTACCCTTAATCACCAATAAATGAGAAGGCTAATTTTGTTAGCCGAAATATTGGCTTATAGTAAATCAGCCCTTTGCCGTAGTGCCAGCCCTGCATCCAGTTTTGTTTTATTTTACACCAAAAATTAGGTTTAGTTTGCTGATATTGTAAATACATTTGAGAACAAAACTGGAATCTTTTTTCAATACATACTTTCAACGTCAGCGTTTTTTTTTTTGTCAGTATTCCCTCTGGAAAGCAGTGAGTTTTGGTTGGCAAAATTTCAAGTGGACAGTAAGGAGGAGGAAGGGGAGGTCTGACCTAAATGTCCTGTTGGCGTTAGGTGGAGAAAAAGTGAATAAATTGACGGCCCCTTCTTTGATTGTTTGTTCTATTGAAGCTGGTAAAAAATTCCAAGATTGTAAAATGATTACCTTTGCCTTTGGTGCTACTTTAATAACAGTTAATAAAAAATGTACATCAACAATGGATTTCTGCATTTATGGCGTCAAGTCTTCTCTGCTGCTGAGGCTCGGAGTGAGTCGTTGGCGCGGAAGTCACATGACAAGTGGTAACTTTCCCACGATAAGCCACCGATGCATTCATTCAGCGTACCAATTAGTTTTAAGCAGTGGGACGACTACCCCAGTGTGGAGAATTTCTAGAATGTGTGATTCCTGAAAGCATCCACACCATTGCCACCTTAAAAATTAGAGCAAGTAAGTGTAATGTTTTTTTTTTCTTTTCTAAATTTCAGTCTGGAGATGACAATGAAGAACTTACTCAAGACCTCAATGGAAATCAGAATTATGAGAATGGTGACATTGAAATGGATGCTGGTTTCGAGGGTGAGTATTGGCAACAGTTAATTTTACTGTCAGATATCTTTATGTATCAACTTATCATTAGGTTATTGATCAGCATCCTCCAGAGTCTAGATCCATTCATCTTTTTCAAAACTGGTTCTGTGTTTCATTACTGGTACATGTACATCCAGTACTCTAAGGAAACTTGAATTCCAGTATGTCCTTTGGGCAAGCAGCTCTCATGTTTTGCTTGCCTGGGACAACTACTGGCTTAATGTCTTCGCGCGCGTTAGATTTTTCAGGATTGGCCGGCTGGACCATTGCTGGACCAGTTAATTAGCAACTGAAATCGGCTTTTTCCAAAGGGTTTGCTGAAAAATCATCTCCTTCGTGCATACTATTTAGGATTTGACTGATCTGGCTGGATAGTTTTGATTAAAAGTGAAATTCTCATTATGACGGGAATGGTCTGCCCGGTCAGTTCTGACAAACGGAAAGCACCCTGAGTTAATGATTTAGTTAGAGGATGAATTGCTTGGACACTTCCCCATTAATTGGGCAAGTGAGCTGTAACAGTTTATACTTGCCCGCAATAAAATTAATTTACACTTGTGCTGGACAACTGGACGGAACCTTTTTCAAGCCCTGTACATTGTATGTTTCTAAAAAAAGAGCTAAAAACTGATCTATTTTTGATCAGATGAAAGAACACTTCTTATTACATCTTTCAAAAAAAAATATACCTATTCAGTATTTTCTTCATCATTTATTTTATTTAATACATTGTAAGATTGTTTAAACTTGGCATGAAAGGCACTTTATTAGAAGTAAAAATAATGTTCATGTTCTAGGTCCTGTTGACTTAGGTCTTTGCCACTGTGTGTCCATCACCTAAAAATTGGCTCTCTCTCTTTCAATCTCTGTAATTTTTCAAGTTGTATCCCTTAATTTTTTGCACCAAGCAGGTCCCATGACTGTGGGCAGGAAAGGCACTATTCTGTTGAATCTCAGCTGAAATTTCAAGTGCTATAATTTTTTATTAATTTATCTTCAGCTGACAGCCCTTCAAGTAATGATGAAGCTCTCAATGAAGTATTCTTGGATGACTCATCTGTAGGACACTGTGAACAGTGTGGCCGCCTAACAGAAAATCTGCACCAGAGGGGGCCCAAGAGATTCTGCTCCACTTCTTGTGCAAGAAGATACAGTGTAAGCTGTTCACGTAAGATGGTATCTTTTCATTCCCGGTCCAGCAGGGGTAGAAGGCACATCAGTGTTAACCAGCTAGCTTCAAATAGAAAGTCATCTTATTCTGTGCCTATGGTGAGTTCGTTGGTGTTTGCCGACCTCACAATCACTCACCAGTCACTCAATCTTTTTCTGAAGCCATTCAACGCATACTCAACTCAGTGAAATTCTAGACTGTACATATAACATGAGAATATACGTAGGTGTCTCTCCTGGCTCCTCACTGCTAGGGACGTTTTGCAGGAGAGGCATCCATGCCTTAACAACAGAAATTCCATCTTATTCTTCTGTCATCTGATATCATCTTATTCTTCCATCTTATCCTTATTTCATCAAAAATTCCATGTTATTCTGTTCCCATGGCGACTTCGCTGGTGTTTACCGACATCACAATCACTCACCAGTCACTCAATCTTTTTCTGAAGCCATTCAACCCATACTCAACTCAGGGAAATTCTATACTGTAGGTATAATGTGAGAATATACGTAGGGGTGCCTCCTTGCTCCTCACTGCTGGGGACATTTTGCAGGAGAGGCATCTGTTCCTCAATGACAGAAATTCCATACTGATGACTTAAAATCTGTTGGGAATCTGGTTAGGAGCTCAATTTAGTAATTACATTGTTTTAGCTATTGTTTACAAATGACAGACAAATGACCAAAGGTAAAAGAGATCAAATGTTAACATGGTGAATCTACTACGCAAAACACTTATTTTTGTGGAATATATTTTTTTGTAGATAAAACATTTGAGTTTTGCTTCAGCTGGTTTGCAGAACTCAAGACTTTACCATAATACAGGGTGTCCCAAAAGTTTGTTCCTCTAATTTCATGCG